CGCCTCCACGAAATTGAATAAACCTGATTAGTGCATTTGTAAAACAATTACTCCGATCGTTAGCGCGGGCTATACTTGGAACTCGGTTCTGGGATTTAGAAAAGTGAATTCAGTAAATAAGTGCACGTTTCAAGGCCTTATGCCTATCGAAGTTATCTCGATCGATAATTTCACCTCCACGAAATTGAATAAACCTGAAAATACCGATAGCAGAAAATCCTAATAAATGTAGGTACCATATCATTAAAGTACCGTTTTATTTCGGCGTCTCCCAACATTGATAAGATATTTTTCCCCCCTCTTTTTAAGGGCCCCGATCAAATGCAAAGAGCATTGTTGTGCGTACCTAGGGCAAAAGTAGGAATTCATTTCCCTCGATCGAGCCCATCGTCGAAGCTGCTATCTCGTGAAGCCATGTCCAACCTAAATATTCCGAGCTGATATCGAATCGCACGGGGCCATCAGCAATTCCTCCCCTTTTTTATTGGAGATTCGACGGGGCTTGTAGGTCATAGGTTGCATCCCTAAAATATCGGCCCTGTCGCTCGTCGGATCGGCTCCGCCTCTCCCGCCCATACACGCCGATACCTATCTGCACCCCGTTCGATTGCCGAGGAAATCTAAGCGTTATTTAACGCCCTATCCTCGGGCCCGTTTTTATTCCCCCGCCCTATCATGCCCTCCGATGTGTCGAATCGAAGAAAAATGACACCCCTTAAAACCACCCGAACCAAATTAAAAAAAAAACTCTGCCTCCCCCTTTCGACTTTGAGGGCATTTAAATCACGCCCACGAAAATAAATAAATGGATAATTTATAACAACCGAGGGAGCTTAAGCCTAAGCTACATGTATCGTAGAACAGACGGTGCGATTGATTATTGTGTAATAATTTATATTAATTAAGTAATCTCACCGTGGGAAGAAATCTATTTTTTTTCCTTTTTTTTTGCGAGGGGCGAACCGTGAATGGAATTTATTTATTCGTCTCTTTTCTGACGTCTTTTACAGATGGGAGCTTTCTCGACTTCCTCTTCGTGGTGCTTCCGGGTCAACCGCGCGTTCTGGCCGCATTCCCGGACGTTATGATCGCCGGTCCCGATTTCGAGCAGATCGCGGACGTGACTTAATAAGCTCCCATACCAGGTCCACTTAATTATTCCCAACGGCTGCCTATTAATTACTGCGGGCCCAGGAGTGCCGATTCGTTCGGCAGAATTCCTAATTGAACTCGCGTTCCGCTCCGTGTTCCACATTCCACCCATTTCCCGGTGAATTCCGATCCGTCGATCGCCGACCCAATAAACGGACGAATGGAGCCTGGAATTCCACCCCGGAATTCCATTTCTTCATCCGGAAGCTCTGAATTTTATTGCCATCCCGGCACGTCCCAGTTCGCATGATAATTCGGATTGAATAATGATTAGATGGATTTTTTAGAATGTTCACCTGCCACGTGCTTAACCTCAAAATCTTTTTTGGTGGATTATGAACGTTTTTTTTTTAAACGTTAATAAGCAGCAACAACTCTTGATTTTATATTCGAAACGGATTGAATATGCGATATATCGATTGGGGGAATATCTTGATATTTGGAAATATCGGAAGGGCAAATTGATCGAAATTTCACGCAGTGCCATTTTCGGGGAATTTCGGTCCAGCAGGAGTAATCTTCACTTCTTCGATTTATGCACGTAGGATGATGCACGCACTGGCGGTGCGTACGAAATCCCGCATGCGTAATTCCGCACGCGGCGGCGACGTCACGATCGATAATCGTAACCGAGCCGAGCATCCATAAACCGTGCTTAAGCCTACTATCATAAAGTGCTTATCGTAACTGCCGCAACCGTACGTCCGTGGTAACATTAATAATGCCGCATCAGAATACGAGGGCGAGACTCTCCTGTAATCACTGCGTTAACTATGCAACTTATTGTTAGTGCCCTGACAAAGGCTTAAAGTGCACTTAACGGGCCCCCGAGGTCTCGAAACGCGAGAGAAAATTTATTCACTGGAAATTAACCGGGAATTATTTATAATTTACGGCTGATAGAGCCGCGATAGGAGGGCGGCTCCAACGGAAATGGCGCCGGCTCCAACGGAAACGCCGTGGAGCTCGAGCACCTGTTGCGATCAGCTGATCAGCTGATCGATGCAAAACGGCTGCCGGATCGGATTTCCTCGGTTTTGTACAACCGAAGTACACCCTTTTTAATCACAATTCGCGAATACTTTCCATCTGACAATGAAATTTACAAGAAAAGGGATTTCAGTCACGGGGTGGAAAAAGTGAAAAAATGAGTGATTCATAACAAATGATTGGCCAATTCCACCTGCAGTCGTTGCCACGCCGTCGGTCACGCGATTCCATTTTTTTTTCTTTTGTCATGAAGCTGATAACGATCCTTTATTGTAATTCAACCTGCGTTTAAAATTAATCAGTTCTCAATCATTGCTTCGTCCCTCTGAAAACGTCACCTTCCCGAGCCTTTCATTTTTGATAAATCTATGTTACTTATTTTTACAACATAATAAATGATTACTATTAACCAGGAGATAATCTAAAACTCCCAAATTTATCTCCCATTTTATCTCACCCCTTGAAACGATTCGCCGATTTTAGGTGGAGGAATATCGCGAGAACCGAAATTACGCAATTAACATTATAAAAGACGCCGATTTTACATGGAAGAATATCGCTAACATCGATATTATGATATTAACATTGCGAAAGACGCCGATTTTCGGGCGTCGGTTCGGAAATGATATCGCGTTAACGTTTCGCTATTATGAAATATCTTCTTGAATTTTCGGAAATGGAAAATCGCAAGGTGTGGACCTCGGGGGTGCGTCGATTCCGCGCGGAATCCCGGACGTACGGGGTTCGGCGGCCATCGTTAAGTATCACGGTGATCGATATCGAGATGCATTAAATCTATGTATGTATATATCTAAGTATGGACATATGCACGTGTATAACTGATTGCAAAGTGTGTGTAGCGAGAGAGCGGGCAGTGCGAATAATTCTTACCTTTTCGGACACTTTAATCGAGGGAACCCCTTGCCCCGGATCGATCGGATCGATAGGATCGATCAGTGTCTCGTTAATTCGCTAGCTCTCTCTCGCTCTCACTTCTCTCAAATCCGATCATCGCTCTCTTTCTCGCGGTTTCGAGCGCGAGAAAAGTCTGTACAAGAACAAGATAACGTGAGGCAGGTGTTCTTTTCTCCTGAAGGCCTCGCCTCGGCTCGTTAAGATAGGTCATGGCTCTTTTCCTGCCGATTCCAGGGGGGTACCGGTTATTTCTCTTCCCTCTCCTTCTTTTCTCCATAACTCTATTTCTTTTTTTATATTTTTTTTCCCTCTTCTCCCGTTGCCATTACGGCGCGTCCACCCCTTCAACTTTCCCGATTTCTATCTCGTGCTCGTTAACGTGGATGCTTTTTATCAGGGATGGAAAAGTACCACCCGATGTTATCACTATTTCTCGATTGCAAAATCAACCCCCATGAGACTATAGGACTTGGGGGATTTTTTGTTATTAATTAATTCGAAGTTTCCACGTTAACGAAAACTGCACCGACATGGCTCGTAATGAGTCTCTGGAAATGTGAGAATTTCGAGAGGATAAATAGAATATTCTTGAATATTTTTGGCACTTGCATTGATAAATAAATTATTTTTAGTATCTTAAGTGACTCCTCTTCGAACCATGACGGAAACACGAGACGGAGCAAACTGGGAACGGTGTGCTTGGATTTCTTCGTTAAAATCCGTCGAAAATAAGTTTTGGAAAATTTTCAATGCCTCGTCACGGTATTTTTTTGGTGACCGGAAATTATTAAACGTTTCGTTACATGATTGTGTAAATCTAAGCTGGTGCAAGGACTACTGAAGGGATGATCGTAATTTGCAAGTGGACGCGTCGAAGCAGTAATTCCGACGTATCGATAGCATAATAACTTTTACGATATCACGAGCCAATAGGGACAATCTGTTAAGTGCGGTAATGCGATCGATATGCAGTTTCCTGAGCGTGTTGCTCAATTGGGTCAAACCGTTGTCCAGTATCAGGACCGACCAGGAGTATTAATTACCGTATCATTGTCCAGTGGTTAAGGATCATCCGGGGAGGTAAGAAAAGAATGAAAAATGAATTTGCTCCATTCCAAACCTACAAAAATTTCCAGAAAATTCTACACGTATCAAGGAAACCGTGCGAGCCGTGATAAATTTTCCAATGTTTAAGTATTCATTATTACGATTTTCTTATAATTTTTTATGCACGCCGTTCCGATGATTCGCTCCGATTTGTGCTCGACTTTTGCCCCTCCTCGTCAGAGACCGCCATTTTGGATGCTGATATCTAATTATACATTTAATCTAGAGATTACAGGCTACATAAACTCGTGTTCAGTGGCGACATGATCTCTGTGATAAGGTTTTAATTCCTCTTCCAAAATGTCAAGCTCTGTCGAGGGGGGGAAACGATGCATGAAACTCTGGCCTGTTCTTTGCAAATGATTATTGTACTGTCATGAATAACGATCGATGCTAATCTTAAGTCACTAGGTTACTCTAGTTTTCAGCGGCACGCATCGCGATCGTCACGCAGGCCCGGGTGACGTGCGTGTACAGATGTGCGTAATTGTCGCCCCAAGTGCGCAATGTCGCGCCAAGTGCGCAAACTTGCTCTCAAGACCGAGAGAAGTGTCGCGATATTTTCCCGGGATTTTTCTTTCCTGGTAAATGAGCAAGAAAATTTTTAATTGAAGTTTCGTTAACAATGAAATATGGAAAAATTGAGAAATTAATAATTTTTATCTAGCGAGCCGCACTTACTCTGCACGCGCACGCGCGCTCGCCTGCGTCACGGTGTATGAAATGGTCTTTAAAGAGTACAATCGATTAATTAAAGGTAACGAGGTTTGTATATATATATATATATAATATATATATGTTTATATATGTATATAAGTATAAGAAGTCATGCACACCTCAATCTTTCTGCCCTCAACCACGGTGCCGTGTAGCCTCTCACGTGCCCGGTCCGCGTCAGCACTATTTGCGAATGTTACAAAACCGAATCCCTGCATGCAAGGACAGACAAAACAACATGCATTAAACTCAACTTACAGACTGCAATGCGTTCGGCACCCCGCGGTACCCGACATCTTGAACGACGTGATACAATTCATTTTATCTTACTTTTATCGGTACAAGTCGAGAAAAGAGGACGGGAAATGCTAGGATATTTTTATAATTATTAAATAATCTCACCGATAAAAATTAACGTCTCTCTAATCAGGTAATTTTCATGACGCGTGAGAAGAAGAAAAAAAAAAAGTGTCCCGTCAAGAGGTGGAAATTTTGATTGAAATTTTTATGTACGAGTTTTGGTATGTTCGTGAATTTTTTGGATGGCGATAATTTTCTAATTTATGCGGAGCTTAAAGGGGAATCGTTTTTTGAGGTTGCGAGGTGGAGGGAGAAGGAGCGACTTTGTAAGAGATTGTTAATAATAATGCCAGTCGACTTCAAGATGTCGTCCGAGCTGGGAGTACGAGCGCCTCATACTGCTTACGGAGACGCACCAAACAACGTGCAACAAATAAGTAAATGTAAAATCATGGTAAGAAATCATGGTCATGGTCACATTAATCATCTCATTATCATATCATATCATATCATATCGTGTCATGTCATATCATGGTCATTATCATATCCATCGGTACTCTTGCTGTTTCCAGGAGGTGCTGATGACAGAGTGGGATGCGGATCGAGGGATGTGCGTGTCGTTAATATTTTTCGATTATCTGGTGCGAAATTCAAAACGTTCTTTCTGTACGTCCTAACCTCTAGGAAGGGAATCTAACCTCAAAGAAATTTCCAGCGTCGAGATAAGAAGTCCACTCTACCGAAAATCCGAGAACTGGAAGGAGGATCGCACTTCCGGAGAGAAGTCGGCTTTCCTAACCTCAAAGTCGAGCCTAACTCTCCAACGGCGAGTTCGGAAAATCCGCGGAGAAAGGGCCGCGTAATTCCTTGCAAAATTGATACGCAAATGGAAGTAGTGAGGTGCTTTTACCTTAACGAGATCAGTCAAGTTTCGCAGGACGAAGTCTCGCTGCTAACGGGGAGCGAGGGAGACGGAGATACGCCCGAGCCACGGGTGCGAGGAAGAGGGAACGACGCCGCGAGAAAGAGAGGACACTGGAGGGCGCCACCGCGGATACCGAATTAATTGAGTTTCTCTCCGCCGGAAGTCGCCGTCGGCGGCGACAAGTAAGGTAACCGTGCCGGTAACGGCATTACTTGAAATCAAATACGAATTCCCCAGGGTCGGGGAGTATCCACGCAGGCTGGGGAAAAAATTCGCCTCTGCTGATATAATTCCCACGAACGCGTAGTTTTCAGATACACAGGAACTCGGGGCCGCCATGTTGGATTGCCGCGCTTCTATGTCGACATATAAGCATAGGTGCTTATAAAAATCGTAAACAATAAAAATATACAATATACTATTTGCGGTCAAGGGAGGCTGCAAAAATGTTCAATTGTTGGCCGCGCTTCCTCTGGTGAAAATCCCTTAAATGCGGTTTTGTTTCCAGGTGGGGGAGGGACGCCATATTGGAAATCCGCGCTCCCAGTAAGTACTCATAAATAGTGAAAATAAAACTTGAATTTACGGGGGGCTGCAAAAACGCTCAATTCTTGATTGCGCGTTTTTCCGAGCGCATTTTCTCCCAGCGTGGAAACATCGATCGGCGAGAACGCGGGAGATTACCGGGCGGCAAATGCGATTTTCGAGATTAAATGTAAAACTCGGAGTAACGATCGGGAAAACGCTCCCGGAGCTGTAAAATCTCATTTTTCATAATATAACTCGCTTAACGCGGCCGGAGCCAGCGTTGAGAAGGAAATGGAGGCGAGAGACGTGATTTACGTCCCGTCGGTCGCCATTTTGAAAGACTGCGCTTTGAAATCTTTTCAGGGGAGAGAGACTTACTTAATGCGGATTCTGAAAATGTGCCGACGCATTTGTCTACTTTTGGCGTTACAGTTCGTGTCAATTTTGCGAATGACAATGTCGAGGTGTGTCGGTAGAAGTCGGAAAGAACGGCAGCTTTTAAGCCCTCCGGGAAGTTCTTGTCCGACCCGCTCGCCAATCCGCGGGCAGGCTTTCCGTTCGGCCGGCTCCACCGGAAATGCGCTTCCGGCCGCGCCGCTCGCGGACTCGTCTACAAAAACGGACGGCCGGGAATGGACTTGACTGGACGACTGACGGGTTCGAAATTCGAGTCGAGTGGTCGCGTCCTACATTCACCTCTAACCTCGCTTTTGGAAAGAAGACACGAACGAGCGGAAGGTTAACACGGACGTGAAACACGGAAAAGGACCTCGAGTTTCTCTTCAACCCCTGCCAAATCCTCGCCCTACTCTCCTTGATAACCTCGACATAACCTAAAACCCGCTTCGAGAAGAGATACACCATTTCATTACAAGTTAACTGCTCGGAAAAATAATAATCACACTTCTGGGCAGTCACACCGGCCATGGCTCGACCCGAATTGCAAATTACGGGCGGCGCACGCGCGGCCTCCACCTCGAAACTTCGCCGGTTCACTTCTCGAATTTAAATCCACCTAGCGACGTGATTCAAATTCCACATGAATCGGCGCGAGTGAACCTAGCCTGAACCGTGACGCCGGTGTCCTAGAGGACTGGCGTCGAAGAAACTCGGCGAATTTTGTGCGGCCGGTCCGCCATCTTGCTGGAGAACAACCCCTTGTGTTTGACGACCTTTGACTTCACAATTTCCCAGGAATTGGGGAAAGGGACGAAGTTCTTCGAGATCGATCAATTCGAGAAAATAGAACGCCAAGAGGTTGGATTTCGAAGGACTTCCGATTGCCAAGGATGGGCACGATAGTGGGCGGCCTAATTGAACGTGGCATCTCATTAATCGTCCTTGCATCGGCGAGGCCAACCGGGAATGGAACACGCTCGAAGTTAACCCGCTGGGCGACCAAGTTAACCCGACTCGGCCAGAAACGGCGAGGCCGATATGCATAATTGTGCCTTCTGAAGATCCTCATCTCGCACGCCATCTCGACGTTACGTTGTACCGACTTCCTACACGGATGAAGAACTCTCTTTTCCTCCCGTCCGCCTCAACTTTCGCCGCTTTCCCCGCCGAATATCGGCCTGATATCCGTCCGTGTTCCTTGGGACCGATTATCGAACGAGGCCCCACCATTCGCGCGATCTCTGTCCACCAGCGATCTGCACTAATAAAATGCCCATGTAAATTTACCATAGTCCATCCCTATCAGAAGCACTTCGAAATCGAATTGTTAGGAAAAATTTTGAGGCAAGATTGAAAGCTCGACTCAAAACGGCGAATTTCTGGAGTTTTCTCAATTACTTGATAATTCATTTTCAAAGTTTCAGCCCAGCACTGATAAAAATGTCCATGTCAATTTACCATAGTCCATCCCTATCAAAGTCAAATCGAAATCGAATTATTCGGAAAAATTCTGAAGCAAGGTCGAAAGCTCGACTCAAAACTACGAATTTCTGGGATTTTTTCAATTACTTGATAATGCATTTTCAAAGTTTCAGTCGAGCATTGATAAACATGTCCGTGTCAATTTACTATAGTTCATCCCTATCAGAGTTACATCGAAATCGAATTATCCGGAAAACTTCTGAGGCAAGATCGAAAGTTCGACTAGAAACGACGAATTTCTGAGATTTTCTCAATTACTTGATAACTCATTTTCAAAGCTTCAACCGAGCACTGATAAAAATGCCCGTGTAAATTTACCATAGTCCATCCCTATCAGAAGCACTTCGAAATCGAATAATCAGAAGAAATTATAAGACAAGACCGAAAACTCGACTCGGAACGGCGAATTTCTGGAGTTTTCTCAATGACTTGATAACTCATTTTCAAAGTTTCGGTCGAGCACTGATAAAAATGTCCATGTAAATATACCATAGTCCATCCCTATCAGAGTCAAATCGAAATCGAATTATCAGGAAAACTTCTGAGGCAAGATCGAAAGCTCGACTCGGAACGTAAATTTACCATAGTTCATCCCTATCAGAGTGACATCGAAATCGAATTATCCGGAAAACTTCTGAGGCAAGATCGAAAGCTCGACTCGGAACTGCGAATTTCTGGGATTTTCTCAATTATCCGATAAACTTTCGAAGTTTCAGCCCAGCTTCGACTTCAACTCGCCCGTCAAGTTCTGACGCGTAATTTCAGTTTCGAGTGTTTAATGCCGAGATTTATGGCCCGCAAAATCCGGCCCCGGATGGAGGATGTAACTTTACATTACGTCGGCGCGATTAGGTTTAAACTCCGATCCAAAATGGCGGTTTAGGTGCCGTGAAGACACCTTCGGGCTCCACCACGTGCATGTAGAATTCAGTGGCCTCGTCCGCAGAAATGTGCGAGGGGTAATGTCCTCTCGCCACGAAATGACGATTAAGTTAGGTTAGGGCAACCCTAACCTCTGGGTTCGAGTCGAAGCCGAATTCCTATCGCACCGAATTATTAGAGTATAACCATTATCGTTGCGTAGACTTTTTAAAAAGAGCTGGAATATCTATCCGGATTACGTCAAAGAGATTTTCCGCTCCGCCTCGGATTTCGGCGGAATTATTTTCACCAGGTTTGCGCGACAAACGGGAAGGGGCTTTATCGCCTCTCGAATTTCGCCACGGTCGGTAAGGCAGAGAGCTCTCGCCCCAAAGAGAGAATATCGGAGTAAAGGGAGCATTGCCACTGTACGTTCCGATAACTCGGCGTGCACGTATGCACGCACACGAGTGCGGCAAACGCGTGCGGCTCCATTCCGCGCCAAAGATGAAATCGACGCGGAATTCTGCCTATACCAACGAGATGGAGGACATCAAAGACAACGCAGCGAATGTAGGGCCATTTTGGAGGCTGACCTAGGGCAACATTTCCTGCTTCGGTCTCACCTGGTGGGATTCCACTCGTTGAAATTGCCGAGGTGCCCCATCAACGTGTCGAATAATTTTGGAAATTCAAGGGGGAATATCATGAATTTCG